AATACAAAAATTATCCCACCAGCGATAGCTTAAACTATAAAAGTATTTGGGTAGAAGCCTGAAATCTAAAAGCAAATAGGAAATTAGCCACATCGAAATTTGATATTGCAAATGCTTTAGGATCAGTTTTTATTTATTTTTTCAAAACATGCGTCTGCAAATAAGAATTCCAAAAAATTCCTGAAATTGAAGACCACTTAATTGAACTTCTCTGCCAAAAACAATGAAACTTACAATCAATTTTTCTCAGTGTTAGAAATCACATGATTCCGCCATATAACCTGATGATATTCACTATCAGTTCGTAAAACATCTACCAGAATGATCATTAAAAAAACGTATTGATATTTTAAATTTATTTTAAGATCGGATAATGTCCCAAAGTCATGGGAAAAGGCAACGGTGATTCCTATCCTCAAACAGGGTAAAAATGATACAGATCCCTCCAGTTACCGCCCAATATCACTTACGAGTTGCGTCTGCAAAATTCTAGATCTGACGATAATTTCAAAATTAATAGGGTATCTCGAATCCAATCACATTATATCACCCCTATAAAGCGGTTTTAAATCTAAGCAAGGTACCAACGATCATTGTGCGCGAAATACAGCATAATGAAGGATCTGCACAATATAAGTATTAAAGGTAATCTACCAAATTTTGTTTCAATTTTTCTATCAGATAGAGTATTTAAAGTCCGGAATAGAACGACCATTTCCGATGTTCATCAGCTTGAAATTGGTGCACCACAAGGCAGCATTCTCTCAGTTGCACTTTTTGGATTAAAAATTATTAGTATGGTTAACACCTTATCCTTTTCAGTGGAGGGCGCTCTTTATATCGATGACTTCATTATGCGTTATCGATCTAAGAAATTGAATACCACTGAAAGACAACTACAACAATCTTCGAATCGACTGAATGTATTTAATTTTTTACAATCAAAAACAGTTATCTATTCGGACTCTCTTTCTGTAGTACAAAGTCTTGGTAATAGAAATATCGATGATGTTTTCATTTGTAACACATTAATACTATATCATGAAATCTTAATATTGTTTTTTGCAGAGGTCCTTGGCACATGGGAATTCCAGGCTGTGCAAAAAGGCATATCATGCAACAAAGGCAGCTTTATCGCATTTCATTTTACTTATTTAAACTATTTATCAAACGATTTTTAACAGCTCAGTGGCAGGAGGAATGGAATCAATATACAAATTGCATTCCGTAAAACGGACTCCATAGTCTCCATGCTACAGATATAACCACCGTGACGAAGTTGTCCTTACCTTACACGTTCATATATGCTGAAAGGCGAAGATAATTCTCAGTGCAAAGCATGTGTTGAGCCCTTGACAGCTAAATAAATTCGTTTTTGGATTGCATTGACATGCTGTCTACTCGAGAACATTTTCATCGTAATGTTACAAGTCTAAAGACCCTTTTTGAAACTGTTCAGATTTATATACTTCAAGCTTATCTAAAAGATGTTGGTCTTGATTACAGAATATGACTTACCATTTTGATATTTCGTAAGTTATTATAACTATATGAGATTTTTAACATTTGCTTCTCGCCTTTTATTTTGTTTGGTATTATTTCGTTTTGGATAGCGATGTTGTTGACCGTTTCATTGCCCTAATGTCCTTTTATGTGTTGACGGGCCGTTAAGAATGTGAAAATAATAGGAAAATTATTGCCAAGATGGCGCGCATCTTTTATAAATGACCGCAGTAAAAGGTAGGAAATAGATATCATGGTAATATCTTTTATTAAAAGCCTATGAAATTACACATGTTTATGTATAACGATGTAGTACTATAGGCATTTCCCTATTTAAAAAGCATTATTTCTTTTACCAATATGCTCATAAACACATCCTTACCTTTGCCATGTTTGTCGTCAGCTCTCTCGGTATTCTCTCAAAACAACCTACTAACCTCATTACGATACATATAAGAAAGTCGCAAACTCACGGAATGCGCTTGTGCATATAAAATCCGATTCTTTATCAATAAAGAGAAAAACATGTATGCCTGGTCTGATATTGTATAAAAACATTGCAATCTACTCTTAACATAGTATAAAAACTTAAACATGGTTTTTTTTTAAATATGTAGGTGTTTGTGCAAAGCCATGTTATCTTAGTATATGGAAACATTTCCATTTCTTGAAACGGTTTTTCTTACTTCTCACCTCAAAAATAGAAAAGATGTTTTATTTTCGAAATTCTGTCGATGATTAAGAGCAAAATAGATGTTCCATGAGATTTTCCGTGACACACATTTATCTTTCATAAAAAATCAATCTAATACAAATTCTTAAACCTCATGGCTTAATGTTTACCAAATCTTGATATGTTCCCCTTTACCATTATGCCCTGGCTGTACCAAATATAGAAGGAAGGAATCGTAGGCATGGTCCAGGCAGAAGAATCGAAACTTCGAGTGGCACATCCTTTTGGTTGCAGTCTTAGGGCAAATAACCACTTGGCGCTGATTCATCCAAATGACTTGTCTACAAATGTACCTGATCAAGTACATTACCTGATGTATACAGTCCGATTATATTTTGATACCAATCACTGCTGTTAACGCTTAATGAAAAGTAACTATAGACTTTGTTTAGTAATTGCAATACGTCTTGCCATGAACGTTTGTATCAAGGCAAATGTAATCCACGATAACATTGGCAGTGTTGAAAATGTGATTGAGAGACTATTCGATGGATGTTTACAAAAGGTATTATTTTATTAAACATGTATGAGAGAGAGTCACGATGCAATCTTTGATACAAAAACAATTCCACGTTGTAAACACAATCATTACCCAATATCAAATTCAACAAACCTAGGGCAAAATATGAACAAAAGGAATATTTACACAGACTCCTGACAGAAGTAGAATATCAAGACCCGGTGTTCTGGAACAGTAAGCGTCTACTGCTATAAAGGTTTGTCCTCTGTTGCATCCGACTTGTTATTAGGATTGCAACTACGAGTATATTTTACTTGAACTGTCCCGCATGCTGCTGCTATTTGGCATGTGTATATGAAAAATATAATTATCGCATCGGCGTGGTGTGGATCACTGTTCAAGAAACTAAATTCCAACCACTAAATAGATAGGTGTTTTCCCCATTTCATATCTCCTGTTTTCTATTCTTCCAATCTTGAATATTGCCAGTACGGGTAATGCTTTCGTTTTGACCCTTGCTTCATCAGTTTTCATACGCTCGTAAAACATTTTGGTTTTTGGTTATGGTTAAGCGCTCAGGTTCATTACAGATATGCAATATGCAATTCATTCTGTCCAAAAATCTTCCTTTCCTTTATGTGACGAAACCTGCATACAATTTGATTTTCAATCTTTATTCCTTGGACCTTTTTTCGAATTTATTATGCATTGCAATTCACAGTTTGAAACAAAGATTTGCATCCCAATTATCCCTCTCGTAAGGACGTCCATCCGATGCGGTTTTCTTTCAATAGTAAATGACACACTTTTAATATTACGGAGTCAAATACCTTCAAACCACTTCACAATAACCAAGAGGACTTGTGATCTAATAGTGGAACTATGTGTAGGATGTTCAAATGAGCTACCTTGACCCACTTTCAAGGTTACAGGATGTCTTAAAATCTACAAATGACGTCTTCTTATGAACCAAAACGTCCAGGTTATTTAAGGGTTTGTTTGTTCCTACTATTCTTGTACAAGATTTTGGCAACTGGAAACTCACAACACGGGGTTTTGAGGGATGAGATTATGGGAAAGTTTTACGGTCGTCATATATCTCATTGTGAATTATTCTATTATTATTATACTATTGCTCTTTATCTTGTTCTCATTTTGGAACGTGACATCACTATTTTGGCTAAACTAAGATTTACAAGACAGGCGAAACACCTGGTCATACTCTTCTAGTACTTTTTAATAGGTATCCGTATGAAGAGCTTGTTTAAAACAGTGCCCTTGTTCCATTTCGAAGGTAATTGGCATCAAAGTGTTAAGAACTTTACACTTCTTTTCAATAGACCATTTGTCATGGCATTTGTTTTGTCTTATATTGTGGGAATTTTTCAGAAACGATTTCTTCTTTTTTATGTTGCAGAATATGTTAGCGATTAAGGTCCATTTCAATATTCGAAATTGTCTGAATCTTTTGAAACCAGGTACTGTTCCCCCAATTACTGTTATATAAATAGATATACATCATTTATTGGTACTTATATAGTAAGATGACCGGAAATGCCCATAGGCCTCTTACATATGTTTACTATCCCCTGCCTTGCAGACGCGCTCAGTTTTTATTGCCGCTTAAAACAAATGATTCACCGACTCAGACTTTCTTATCGTAATCAACAAAGATGGCAGGAAGAGTTTGATAATGAATTTTTTCTCGCATAGGAAAGAACATTGTTAACAATTTAGACAAGCAGACCCTTTAAACACCAAGCGGACGACAAGCACTGTTGGTTAAGATTTGTCGATATATTCTACAAACAAAATCTTAAATTTCACGACAATCAATTTTTATTTCCGCGTGAGTATTATTTCAATAAATCAGTATACGGTGATATATTTGGGACATGCCTATCTACCACCCTTCCCAACAAACATTATAAAGAAAGATGATAATAAATCTTTATCGTCTATACAAGGCTAAATTATCACCGTAACATTTAATATTCGTATAAAACTGATAAGCAAGTTCTGATATATCAACTTAAAAATGAAAATAGTAATCACCAGCCAGTTTTACAGGTCAGTGAAAGTGTGTTTCGTTTAATCTTCAAGATAATTAAACACGAAATACCTGCTCGAAGCATAAAACATTATACAGCACCCTTATAAAAGCAGGACCGTCCTTGATAAATTACATGCGTCACCATTGCACATCTACTAAAATATTCCTGCGAACGCTAATGTGCACGTGTCATCATATAACTTCTTATTTCTATACTAAATTACACGTGTGACACTACAGAACCACACGTTCTACACTTTGACATGTTTATTCATGTGGACGATTTCCCACTGTTTCATCCACGGTCCTGTTATAGTTGTATCTAGATCCGGATCGTCAGCTTCCTAAAGTAGAAAAATTAAAAACTTTTAATCAACCCAGCATTAATTCAGGGGTTTTTTTTCAAGTAAGGATACAGTCTACAATGAGCAAATATCGTAGCAATCTGGATGACTCTACGACAGAAACATATACATGTATTGCGATCATTTATCGATGTCATAATTTCTATTTACCAGATTTCACTTAAAGTGAAATTTCAATTTCAAAATGATCAATTTTCATTTTCTCAGGGGTATTATCAGATATTATAAATATATAAATATCTCGGTGAGATATGGCTTGTTATTCCGTGAAGGATTCGTCTGAGATAAACATTGACAATAACAATGTTAATTCGGTCCTTTTTGTCTTAGGTTACATGCAATACCACTGGACAAATCTGTTCAACTTTTTATAAGATATTATTATAATATTTTAGTCAGTATATTATCTTCTAATTCATTTGCATGGTGCAGAATATACACATGTAATTGACACTTCTATAATTATCTGATATATGAAAATGATAACCTAAACACATTATAGGAAAATTGCCTACAATTTTCAAACATTTAGGCCATCATTGCAAAATCATTAAAAACGAAAGAGCAATTATATGGTGAAGTTATGGTGTAATGTTAAGGTTAACTTCCAACATCTAAATATGTATTGAAGGTTACTTTAACGATGTATTTTTATACAATTCAAACCTTTGTATATCCAGTTACTGAAGCAGTCTGCTTCGCATTTCTGTCGACTGAGTCAAACGTCTCCCAGTCTATCTCTAGGTTCGGGTTATCCGCGGATCGCATAGGAACCTTCTCCTTAAGTCCCCAGAGGCCACTTGGAGTTTCGAGACGCTGCCACCTCAAATCCACGGTCCACCTGATCTGTGACGTCATATTAGGGAGGCTGTTATAAGAATATATCTATTAAAGAAAATGGGCATTTGAAACTGTTTGAAACTGCAATTACTACGAACAACATTTCGCACACAAGACGAGTGAACCAAAGAAGAACCTATCGATTCAATAAGGTGATCATATCTTTTCACGCCTAATCCGGGATTCGCCTGGGTGAAAAAGTTACCATTGTAATCCTCAACTACCACAGTAAGTTTTTCTTATTTAATTTTGAAACGTACACTTTATTCGCTAAATCAAAATTGATAATATCTTTCATACAAAACTTTCCAGATAAGGGGTGTCATAAACCGTATTCAACAAGTACCTGTCTTTTTTTAATATCGTTTTTGAAATTAGCCAATAAAATCCGAGAGGATCCGGTATGATAGCAAAAATCATATAAATATAAAGTAATGAATAGAGAACACAATCAGTTTCGAATTACAGTAAACTCAAAGCAATCAAATAGGATTACAAACGGGAAATTATCATATATTGATCTATACCTCCGATGTGGAATCATATTCGAGAACAAAATCATTCCTCCAAAAGGTACCGGGCACACCTGGCGATCTTTCGATACATCCACGCCTGAATTTAAAGAAATTACAAATGAAATGGGTATCTTCTCTTTTGTTTTATTTCGCATTTAGGTCAAATATGTTGGTTTCCTTTTATATTGTTATATTTCCTGTCAACAGCAATGGTCATTTAAGGAAGGCATGCATATGTTGAATGCGCGTGTCTACAGGAGAATGTGGTATATTTGTGTAAGCTGCACATTTAGCTGACGACGGTTGAACCAGACGTGACACTACCACAAAGCTGTTCAATATATATAAAATTTCTATAGACATGGCTCATGTATATCTCGGTCAGACGGCAGAAACCAAAGCCTAACATGGTAGAACGCTCAACAACCGGAAGTGCGACAATGTCAAGACTGGACATTAACTCATTCTAAATATAAGTAGGCTTTAATGATATAATTGAAATGTTTACCTAATGTTCTCGTCATTTCCTCTTCCTCTAGGATAGTGTACCACGTGCCACCATGGCAACACTGGTGGGTAGCTACTTTACCCAGTCGGTGACCTCCCTTGATAAACTGAAAAATATAATATATTGCAGTAACTTCAATAGGTCCGCATGGCAAATATTTAAGGAATCAAAAAGGCATGTACTTTTGTACATTGTATGCCAAATAATAATGCATTCATCTTGCATATTTTTTTAAACCATTCATACATATAAGTATATGTATTTTGTCAAGATATTTATCCCATAAACCAACGGACTATTTCGGTCGCTCCTTGCTCTTATCACTCATTTCAAACGACAAGTAAATATTTAAATATTTCTGAAAGCATTTGCTTTTTTCATAACATCGAAGTATACATACACAACATACGAAGTAAATGCGATGTAAATTAATCGAATTTTCAAATACCGCGCCAAAGAGTATGCCATACCGTTGCTCAGTACACAAGCCTCTGTGAGCAATAACTAATCAAATTTAGAATTAGATACCGTAAAGTCAAACTTCATTATACAGCTGTTTCGTCCTTCTAGGGTTCCTCAGTGATGTTAAGGGTCTAAATTCTAAAACCTAATAGGTGACTGAGGGGAAATTCCAAAGTGATCGAAAGAAAAAATGAAAATCTCATTGGGGAGTTACATTTGCCTAATAAACATCTAAATGAATATACAGTATTAAATGTCACACTGACACCATGTTGTTGATCTTACTTCCATGCAGCCATTTTCCATATTTGTGTCGAGGAATGGTATCCATGCCGTAGGAATGAGTATGTTGTACGAGTCTTTGTCCATGTATGCACTGTCTGAAAGCGGGTTTCAAAAGATTGAAATACTAAAACTCGTGCTATTGATCGTTCACTCAAAAACGGAACTAGATAAAAATCACATTGCATGAGGAGAGGAGATATCGACGAAAACACGGGAGGATATAATCAGTAAAATGCAGTGTGAGTGAATTAAATATCAAGTTTTCAACCTTTTCCAAATTTTACACATGTAAACTTGTCTTTGCAATTTCCTTATTTCAAAGAAGCAGTATGAATATCAAACAAAACTATTCTTAAAATCCAGTTTCAGCCAGAACTTACTATGTAGCTTGCCTCGACATTATCCACAATCGTTACATCGTAGTCAAATAATATTTGTTTTCATCTCCTGAATATTAGAAGCGATAAATCAACTCTTCCCCTTGTTGTGTACTTGACTCTACAAGTTTGATCATCTTATTTTTATCTAAATAAATTCGTTATCCTTATCTGTTATCACATTTTACTGTCTAAAAGTTTGCTTGAAGAACCTACTGTCAACATACTTAATTTGGCAGAATCACATTTTAGTGTATATAAGCGCAATGATAAATTCGCGCATCCACAATAATTACTTTATAAGGAGTATATAATCACAGTTTTAGCAGTATATTTTCAGCGTTTAAAATGACAAATAAGGTTGCCGCTAGCACGTCTACGTTTATACAATATCTCACCCTGATGCCACGGAACTGTTGTCTCTTCGTCATGAGGAATCTTTGCCCGAAGGTTCCAGACAGGACTACCAGCAATATTGGGGCCAATTAGTTGTTCGATAACATTCAACAGTCTTTCATTGGACCATAGCTGTCGTAATGCCTGCAATATGAAAGATAAAACATTAGTAATACCTTGGGCTTCCATTCTTTACATATGTTCAATGCATTTTGGTTCTTATGAAATATTTAATGTTTTCAAGAATTTAACTCACGCTAAGCTGACCAAAGAACATGGTGCTTAATAGGCGTTTTAGTTCATTCGAAAAATTGCACGGTTCAGAATATACACATATATTTGACATCATTATAGAATTATCAGGTAAATGAAAATGACATAATTCATTGAATTATTGGCCTAATGCACCTTTCCCACTAGATTTTGACATTTTCTTCGGTCGCGTTTGATTTCCCCGAGTTGCTTCAGAGTTAACGCCTTTTGGAATTAAAATCGAGTCATGAAAGTGAATCAGATGGACAGCACTTTTGAATGGATTAAAAAAAATTTCGGTAATATTAATGTGGTATCACATTTAGGTCTTTTACAGGATGCAAAAATCTATGTCGACGTTAATGTTGCCTCATATCTCATAGGGAGAAACTAACTGCTAATCATGATCGTTTAGAAGCCTTGCAAGACTGACTCTTTCAAACGCGCATATGCTCTTACCCGATAGTGTTACCAAATACGGCGGCTTGATGAAGCAGACAACTTGAGTTGAAACTTAAACTTAACATTTTGGCAAGTAAACTTGTAAAATGTTCCCCTTATGATCTGATCATCTAGTCAAGACGTATTGATATCATTTATTGTATAAGTGCTACTGTTATTAACATCAGGATTAGGATATATATATATATATATTCATATTTATCTAATGATTTACTTATTTTAAAAATCAATAATTGAATTTATTGAATAAAAAAATATATTCGTGGATACTGCATTGACTGGAATCTAAATAGATCTACATTTGACCTGAAAGATAGAGATGAAGATCATGTAATTAATTCAAGAAGTTTATATTTCTCTTGGTGGAATATAGAACGTCACAATGTGTTTAAATGCTTACAAATTATAAATTATGACACGTCATAATGGGTACAACCCAGATATAAACATCACAATTTGGTAAACGACAGGAAAATTACGCCCCCTGTAAAGGTCATATTACACAGATGATGGACGATCAAATAACATCATTATGAGAAATTAGAGAAATAAAGACCTTTTATTGTAAGTCGTACATTTATTAAGCAGAAAATGTCAGAATTTCAAACACGAAATCAATTACTGACTCATTTTTCATTTCTTTATAAATAACCAGCCAATAAACTATGTTCTTTATTTCTTTATAAACACGACGTGTCAGGTGACATTTCTCGATTTAATGGCAGGTTATAAATAATTTTCTTATTTGATTTCCGTAGCAAATAAATAAAATTAAGTCAGAAGCTAATAAAGATATTTTCCCGGTAAATACGTGAGGTGTTAATGATATTTCCGATACATCTTTAACCCAAAAGTAGTCAGGTGTGATTTTTTCGTCCTTTGACCAGGTGTATACCTGCTGTTGTTGTATGTTAGTTTGATTATGCTGAAGGGATCATCATCTACCTTATGCAAAAACATTTACTTCCAAAGAGGTCAAGTGTGATCTTGATTGCTGAAAAAATACCAATGTCCTCTAAAACTCTGTTAAGTTTAGAACTTATAGTTGTGACAATATGATGTTAATGGGAACTCACTCAGCAGTGGGTTATATTACATGTCTTAAACAAAAGGTTTTTATTTTAAAAATTGCCAAGTGTGCCCCTTCACCCCGTTTGTCGCTGCCGATTAATGCAAGATTTTTAATTGAACTTTGTCTTTGGTTCACGCCTGCATCCTAACTTTGATTCACATAGGCAAAACTTCAACTTAATTCTTACCTTTTCATCACACCCAGTGTATTCTGACAGGATTCAACCATGCACTTTTCGTTCCCGTCCACAGTATTTTAACAGAATTCGATATCTTATATTTGCTTCACTCTTGCAGTATTTTGTCAGGATTCCTACCTTCTGTACACGTATCCAGTATTCAATATCTCGACAGAAATATTATATTTGCTTCACTCTCGCAGTATTTTGCTAGGATTCCTACCTTCTGTACACGTCTCCAGTATTCAATATCTCGACAGAAATATTATATTTGCTTCACTCTCGCAGTATTTTGCCAGGATTCTTACCTTCGGTACACGTCCTGTTTTTATGACCAAGATGTTAGCTCCCGGGAAATCTTCGTTCATTTTCACAAGTCGTTCATGAAATCCTAAACCACTGTATAAATCTGTAGAAAATACAGAAACGTAGACAGTTTTCAACAATTGAAACAAGCCAAGTATATTGCAAGTAATATCAAATGTTACCGGTAACAACTATAGATACCAAGTACTGATATTAACCGTAAACAAATATCGATTACTTCCCATTAACCGGAAACAAGGTTTTCATTGAGTTTTTACTATTGCCATCTTATTATGGTCTTTTATGGCGTTTTGATAATATAAATCATTTAACAGAATCACCTATTCAAATCAATACTGATTTTATAACATGTTTATGTCATGACCAGCATATTGAAAAGTCGCGCTCTTTTCTAGCATGGCCTGTGCTAAATTGATAGACGGGACACAAACTATTTGGACGGAGTACCAAGTCCTTGTAGGATTGTATTCCGTTCGGAATAACATACACTGCACATACTGATCTCAGACCTACAGTTTCTGCTACAATGAAAGATGATTAGCAGCAGTAGGAGTCTCCTGAGGTAATTAACGATCTATGTAAAATTAAAATATAAACGCCTGTTTTCTGAAATATTTAAACAGTAGATAGGACGTTGACCTTTCTCGGTTCCAAAAAGGAAACCAATATCTTACTTATCTATTCCTTTTAAGTATGATGGACCCATTTTTTCTCTGTACATGCGATTCAATGCTTACAAGGGAACATGATCTAATTTATCGTTGTGATTTTTCATTTATTCGAACAAAAATCGAAAAACCTTATTTCCTCTTTTGGCACTTGTAATTTCTTTCCATCTCATCAAACGAAAGGCATCTTTTTAACATTTATTTGTTCGTTAATGAATAAAATTTAATCTTTTGGTTTTAAGATTAAAATGTTGTTTACTTCCTAATAGTGTCTGAGCTCTCAACAATTATTTTGGTTTAAAAAATATTCGACTGTCGACGAGCCCTTAAACAAATATCCAACTGAAATGCAACATGTAAACACGGATAGAATACTTTCTGTATCGCTTGTAATTGTTGAAATTATGTAATCACTACCATATTTCATTATAACTGATAAAAAATCAATGACAAACAAACCATGTTGATTATATCCGAAAGCTACCGACCTACTTACCATGATGATTGACAACAAGAAAACGTATTGACCTACTACCCATATTGATTGAACCGAGGAAAACTAACATATTACTTGTAGTATTGTCTTTTACGGGTAAAAACTACTTGAAACTGGTAAAATTCCTGTATTTTATAATATGTCTCTAGTAGTTTAATTACTGTAAGATTAGTCATTAACAACTTACTTGATGTATTAATTACTTAATGCATTGATTATAACCAGAAAAGACAATATTACTTTCAAATATGTCTATAAACCGGAAACAACAATGATAGTTTACTAACCGGTATTGATATTAACCGAAAATGATTACCAATGATCATCATCATCACCACAATCATCATCATCATCATCATCATCATCATCATCATCATCATCATCATCATCATCTCACAAATGTTACCTGAACAATTAGAATGATTCTATATTATCATTAAGATATGATGTCTGATTTAAATAACCTACCTTTGATTTTCCCCTTTCTGAATAACATATTAGCTACATCATCCACAACATCCATGATGGCTGTTTTACAAGGTTCGAGTTCCTCTGCCGTGAAGAAATTCTCCACTATGACAAACCCCTAATATTGATATAGAAATAAAGAACATTACATAAGGCAATACATTATTTTATCATATATTTACTTGTGACATATCTTAGAATTCGCTTTATCATATAATATGATAAAACCGAATATAACAGGCATTATTACATACCCTCGACCGTCTAAGTATTACATTGTGCAATCACGATCATTCCATATAGCAAAGATCTTACATAAATTTTCATTCATATGAACTTATTGAATTAGGTCTAAGAATTTTTCAACGTTCTGAGCCTCTGGAGAGGTAAAATGAAAAATTCTTGAAAAGTTTCATTAATATTATATTCCGGACACGAATTTAAGATTCTGTTTATCACATCAATCAGTTACTAACATTCGTAAAAATAAGATCACTTATTCTGTTTACACTAACTCTATGGTTTGCCTGGATGGTTAAATATTATATTGTTATGATTATATATCAACACATTAAGTGACATTGCTTTGTGATGCGTTGATTCAGAGTTGCAGTTTAAAGTGACCAGATATTTGCTTGTAGTAAGAAGCATATCGGATGTATTTGAAGTCGACCTCGAAAATCTGAGTGACCATTTTCCAAAGCATTTTGATTTTTAAGAGAAATAACAGAAACTTTAACGTTGAGATAAAAAGTAACTCCTATCGTTCTTTCTCTTTCTATGAATTTAATAAATTACATATTAAATATAACCTAAAACACAACTTACATCTTCAAAAAACTTCCGAATGACTTCGTCCGGGAGTTGGCCTGGTTTCTTTATCGTAGATGGAGATGGTCTGGCTGGTAATGTGAACACTTCTGGCCATGAGGTATCCGAACATCCGGGGAACTTTCCTGGCATTCTGTAGAATTTACGTATCATTACTATTACACGTTATTGTTATACAACTGTGCCACAGCAATATTGTAGGTATGGACTTAGTGATCTGAGGAAATGTTTGTTGTCTGGTAATGTACTAGATATTGTCCATGTTCTTATTTTAGGTTATTTTAGGTTGCACGTTCCAGTTGGTTCGAGAGCAACTAAAACACATGCACTTAAAGTGTTGCCCTACCGCCGTGAACATGACAAGAACAAAAACAAGGGATAATGATCCATTTTACATTTCTTGATATATACTGAGAGAGAGAGAGAGAGAGAGAGAGAGAGAGAGAGAGAGAGAGAGAGAGAGAGAGAGAGAGAGAGAGAGAGAGAGAGAGAGGGGGGGGGCATTCGCAAAGAATAGCTGGGCAGTGATAAAGAATATTTATTTAAATTTTCTTTACAGACAGAAAAGTGAGAGAGATAATAAGATAATTAACGAATTTTACAATATCCATACATGCAAGATAAGAGAGACTTTGCATATATTGCGATAAAAAAAACAAATGTGTCCCATCTACATGGATAGAGAGCTTAACGAGGCCACGCGCCATCTGGAAGAGTTATCGCTACTGTTTGTATAGGGCCCTGTTGTCTGATGATACGAGAGGACAGCGCTATCGTAATTTATCATGTCTAACATTTTGATGATAAAGAAAAATGTATTGTATCTGAAATGCACTGATATTATCTGTAATATCTGGAAGTTCGTTTATATCAAAAACGTGTCAAATGTCAAATTTAAGGCAGTAAAAAATGCCGACATATTAAAGCGGCTATTACCTTAGATTTCAACATCGGGAATTGGAGAATTCTGCTTATGAATAATAAAATGTATCCATAATAAAGAGATACACGCGCCTACAACGTCAAATGTGTTGTTTTTGTACATATTTTTCGCATCGGAACATTGTTTATCTTGACTATGGTTTATAAACATGTTCACGATCCGTTTTTTACGAAGAAAGCCGAGTGGGTCACATGGCTTGTCACGTGACGAAGTCATTTACTTCCGCCGCAAAGAAAAACTGGATTACGAGGAAAGTAAACAAACGCACATGTCTTATGTATGACACTTGCTTTTGAGCCTTTCTGTTAATTCTTGTTTGCAATAAATGATTCTGTGTTATAATATATAATTTTAAAAACCAATCTCAGTTAATTCGTTTTGTTTAGGCTTGTCGTGCGATAATTATCTATGTCAATCGCGGGAGCTAAACTAGTGGGGCCCCAAAGGGGGTAATGACAATCGGAAAAGAAAAAAAAAATCATTGTGCAGAAATGCACAAGAATTGATACTTTGTCTATACACATTATAAGATATTGTTTACCATTCAACATGTGTCTATGTGCTAATTGTGAAGGTTATGTTTATCACCACGGTTGTTATTCTCACAGTAACACCAGTACCGTCATATTTTTACACTTAGAACGAATGCCCGCAATTGGACCCTACCTTGCAGTCAACAACAAACACACGTTGTCGATAGTAAATTCAAGCAATAATACAACTTTTAGTAGTGTTGATCATAACATATTCACGCGTCAAACACTGGATATTGGATTATAATCAAGGACAGGCGGATACGTTATAATTAAAGGGCTAACGTTAAGCTAACCAGTCAAGCAGCAGCTTCGCAAATTCCGAATCCGTATTCAGTCCAAGATCCTCCTTCATCTTTTGCCATCTATCGATCTCCTGTCTAATATAAATTCTTTCCTGTCCTCTTTTCTGGTCTGACTCCTTCTTACGCTTTCTGGCACTTTCTGTAAGGTAACTTTTAGGTCCTCGTCGCCTTTTCGTATTTGCGTCCGCCATATTGCTTCTTTCTAGGCTTATACGCATGCGCAGCATAAGGGTTACGAGCGGTAATGTATGAATTAGATCAAGACCGCAATGTTTACATTCTTTTTTTTTAGATATCAATAAAAATGGTTGCAGTGACTTTAAATTTTAGTAATAAACAGAAAGTCTTAGTTTTGTAATATGGTGTTGGAAAATACAACGTTTCATACAGTTTTCTCGTAGTGTTTTTAACATTATAGTCGCTTTAACAGAAAAAAATCAAAAATGAATTTGATGAAACATTGACAAACTAAGATCAAACGAAAAATCTTCAAACAGTCTCGTGAAAAAAGTTCAAGGAGAGTACACGGAAAGGTTAGCGTATTCTGTTGGCCAGTCCAATTAAACAATGTCACGTTCCCAAATAAGAACAAGGTAAAAAAAAAACAATTAAACTGCCAGAAGCATAAAAAACGTCCAGTTTCATATCGCGCAAAGACATTTTGTTTGATGTATTAAATGACATATTTTCTTTGGACGTAAACGTTTATCGTTAAAGAGACGAACATATTTTAAGGCGACAGCTTCCGAGCTGAAACAAGTGACATGGTTTACATATGGATGTCAACATAACCGGGCAAGTCAATCTGACATTCAGATATCAATTTTATCAGTTGGCTCTAATCAGTCGTTTAATTACGACTAATTGAAAATGTTGTTTCTTGTATCTAATCATAAGCTGTCGATAAGACTTACCTACCTTCAGTATTTGTTAGTTTATCTGGTCAACCTCTTAAGGATTTCTCTGTACAACTTGGTCGATATATATTAGATTAATCCCTTCAATGAGACTCTCGTTTTACACAAAAAGTATCTACCATTCTTGGATCAGCAAGGTAAATCAGGTTATCTCACTTTAACATTACGTGATAACATTTTCGCATCTTCTACACGTTTGAATAACATAAATGAACATACGTAATGATTAAGCACCGAGCAGGACAGGGCCAATCTCAGGTTTATTTACACAAGGACGATGAACGGACGATAATTATGTACATACATGCATTGACACAGTTATCTGTCACACTGTAGTGTGAATAGATACTGCTGTTCCTTGTTACGTACCGTATGACCATCTGAAAGTCACCATTTCCATTCTGTATGCGCACGCCCTTTGTGCTAGCCAACCAATGTCCTGTTTACAAAATGTTAAAAGTTTTGATGAGATTGGCGATTTACTTTTCACAACATTTAGCAGCTGTTTTAGATTAAGTAGGTGTAATTTGACGGCTGGTCATTGTAAACAGAAAAATGGACTGTTATTTTCTTATTTTTTGTGTATTTCATAAAATAATTTTCCTTTATCATCCTTTTTAAATGCACGTTTCTGAAGTATGTTTTCAAAACCAACAGTCGAAAAACTCTTTTATACGACAAATATATTTCTTGAGTTGTTGCCTAAAAACTGAATGCCAACGCTAACACAAGTCGGTAAGCTATTGTTTTAAATACCTACATGCCTGACCAGGTGGTGTCTAATTAATGAAGTAAAATTCCGGATATTTGATCCGGTGTCCGGTTCCTTTTGTTTTTTCTGTTTAGAGATGCGTTGTTGATTTCCGTTATATTACAATGGTGGTAAACGTTTATAGCGTTGTTGTAGATTTGTGTGAATAAAAACCTCTCGCAGCCAAAGTCAAGTCGTACCTGCTGTTCCCATGACGTGCTATTTTCAGTTTTGAAATATCATTCTTCGAAATGTCTCCTTGGCACTGCCATATATTTGGCCTTTGATTGAGCGTTCGAAGAATGTTTTATGTTCTCTCCCTTGTCCATGATATACCACAGTCTTCTAAAAATGGCAGTTTCTTGTAAACGTCAGCATTTTGTTACAGTAAAACTAGTTTGCGAATTATCAGTATTATATGACCGACTTGGTTGCTGTAGGAAATGCTGACGGCAGTATGCTTCAATTTGGTGCACTATAAAGTCGGATTAAGTTCATCACTATCACAAGAGAGTTTATTTAGAACAAATCGCAGACTCCCATATAATAAATACACTTAAACCATATACACCGCCTCTCATTCAGCGGAAGTCGTTCTTGAACTATTATAGCTGTTAATAGGACTTTAAACAATAGAAACAGACATGACAGAGCACGGATCTGATTCGCAGTTTTGACAACGAAGACTACAAGAGTTATCCTTCTTGTAACGATTTAGTACAATAACCAGCGTACTCCCGCAATGGCCAAAGTACTCATTCAAATACCGACCCACTACTTGATACAATAAATGTTTTTTTTCCACCAAGAACTCTACAGTTGTAATTATATCATATGTTCTAAGCAGATGTGATTAGACACTTAAAATCCAGACATAAGAACAATACGTATAGAAAATATCTCACTTATTCTAAATTTGAATCCATTAAAACGTTGAATGCTAAATCAATAAATGAATGAACTATTCAGTCCTGTTTACAATATAATTCATCGTAAATGAAGCGTCAGGATTTATATTAAAGCTCATTTTATAGAATCAGCAATATGTATCGTAATACAATAGGGTTCCATTATACAAACTGCTAAAAGGGGTTCTGTTAAACAGTTGTAAGATTGAACAAACACACAAAATGCGAAAAGCACCTTTAAGTACAAATTTTAAGCTAGAAGCAGTAGAGCTAAACAATGAATTAAACTGCATTATAAGCTGTTTTGTTCTTATAGGACTCGTCAATAATACCAAGGCCTACAGATCGATATTAACAGTCCACAACCTCCCGTTTACAAGCGATTTACTAACATTTGTGCTTTTACATTATCAGGAGTTGTCCAACTTCGTCCACAGTCCAATATGATCACAAACGCCATGATACTTAAAGGAAGACGAGTTTTCAACGAAATGTTCTATTTACGAAACCCCCGCAAACGTTATGTTTTGACAAGCATACGATAACTGTTACTCTCAAAATATTTCCCCGAAAAAATGAGAATCACAGACTGGCCAAAGAATGGCCAGAATCGGCATACTTTCTGTATATAATTACATTTAGAACCAAATGTAATAATGGTATCAAATCTACACCTTATAAAATAAATACAATGTACAAAACAGTAATTGTATCAGCTGTAAAATGATCCTTTAGAAGTACTAGCAAAATAACGTACAAAACCATTGATCGTGTA